ATATTTGTAAAGCACTGCAGTTTTTCTTTGGGTGCGATGAATGAAGCTGAAGTACTAGACTCTGTAGAATCTAAATTTGTTATTGTATTTCTGATGTTATCTATTTTAAGTCATTACTATTAAACTGTGAGGGAATATTTAGATCGGGTAACAGACAGAACCTTCTAAAAAAGTCTACAGAACCTTTCTTGTCCTCGTCGATACGTCAGAAGCGGTCCTGACACGATGATGGTCGTCGCGGGCGATGTGCTGCGTACCGTCTCGATCAGGCTCCTGAAGTTCCTCTTCCTCGCCCCGGGGCCTGGCTCGCATCTTCCACTGCGGGTGCACCCAGGGTCCGTGGTGTCCTGGCGCCAGAGTGAAGGACATCTGAGAAGATTGCGTCCTGGGTGCACGGGGCCTGTGCAGAGAAACACACGGAGTAGAGGTGGTGGGAGTGTTAGCAGCGCATTGTATACTTACCCCGGACTTGTGAGCATCAGCCCGGGATGTTTCCAGCGCGGCTCTCTGCTCCCTCAGCTGGGCCTGCTTCTCCACCAGGTCGCGGATCTGCTTCTCCACGGCCTCCAGCTCGAGCTGCATTCGTGTCCTCACCTGCACTCAAAGGTAGACACACATCCGCCATTAAAGCAAGTAACAGTGAGTAAAACAATGGTAATGTGTGTGAATAGAGTATTAGCAATGTAAGCGAGATAAGCGGCAACCACGCTGGCGATGCTAACGGGCTATAAGCTAATAGTGGACTCGGGAAATCAAAATAAAACTAGTGATAACATGGCGCTCTGATTGTTTTTGTTGTAGAATACGATAGGGGATATATTCACACGTTATAGAAACGGAAATGATGGTGTATAAAATTGATTTTAAGATAAAAAATAGACGATAAATAATTAACTTGACGGAGCTCAAACTCAGAACACGCGGCAGCAACCATGAGCTTACACTTTCTCCATAAATTTATTTAGTCTAATCACAGTAATATCATACTAATGTCCACTGGAATATGAGGTGATTTAGTTCTTATGTGATATCTGCTTTGGAGAAGTTGTGCAGAGATTCATGTTTTTTCAAGTCAAACAAAACAAGAGCAAAAAGAGATTGTATTGTCAGGGCCACAAAGATGATTTCAAGAGCTGAAATCTATCAAAAATGATGCCTCATCATAGATGCATTGAAGCCAGAACTCTATCACAGTGTGCAGTTTCCATTTCCTTTCTGTTACACAACGGAATCTAAAACTCAGGATATTGAGTCAGTCATTGCCATCAACAATAATGCAGAGCGCACTGACGCATTATATGAGTCCAGCATCATTCTGACAAGCATTAACAGCTCTCTGATTGCAGCTGTGGGATTTTAAAATAGACTGTGCATAAAAATGAACATCAAAAGCATTACCTGTGCAATGCATCAATATTCTAATGATATACTTCTCAAACTACTTTTCATATTGTAAATTACAGATTGCATATGAAATATGTTTAAGGGAGCAATATCTTTTTAGATGTATCTATAAGATGATATAATTCATTCATTTATAGTATTCATTTGTGCAGCGTGGATATAAGACATCTTACTCAAGTTGCAACCCTAAAAAACATGTGTGAACAAAAAATCTTTTGCCTGCCCTGAACTATCAAAGGAGGGACCCGGGTGACAAATAAATACTTTTGGAATTCACTGGCAGATGCTTGACCTCGCAGATGATCATGAAACGAGAAATAATGTAAGGAGGGCACAGTGGTGCAGAGCAGCAGCTGCTGAGAGGAAATGAACAGGACCACCCTCAAATGAATGAAGGCCTGCTACAGTGTTCAATTGTTATGATGTGACCAACAAGTGGTTGTTCTTTGTGGGAATGGTCATGCCAATTCTTACGATATGTTCTGAGCATCCCACCAAATGAGCATTGAATTTTATACTGGAAGGAAAATGTGAAGCACAACAAGAAACTCAGTCACTCGTTTTTTCAGCATCATTACTCCAGTTTTCAGTGTCACATGATCCTAGAAATCATTCTAATATGCTGATTTGGTGTTCAAGAAACATTTCCTATTATTACTGTATCAAGCCGTGATTATTTATTTATTAGAATTTGTTGATGAGCATAGACTTTGACATTCTATTTTAAAAAATCCATTTAAAAATGCTGTTCTTTATATTGTACTTTATATTCATTTAAAAAGTTTGGGAAAAATTATAGATTCGTAATAATAAATGTTTCTTGATCAGCAATTCAGCATATTAGAATGATTTCTGAAGGATCATTTGACACTGAAGACTGGAGTAATGATGCTGAAAATTCAGCTTTGCATCACAGGAATAAATTATATATGAAAATTCATTCAAATAGAAAAGTTTTTTAAAATTGTAATGATATTTCAAAATATTACTGTGTTTAACTGTATTTTTGATCAAATAAATGGAGCCTTGGTGAGCATAAGATAATTCTTTTAAAAACATTTTAAAATCTTACATTCTGATCTGCCATTACAGGAAAATTAAATACAATTGCATAAAAAACATTTAATTCAAAATGTTCTTACTGTATTTTTGATCAAATAAATGCCCTATTGTTGAGCATAACACACTACTTTCAAAAGCGTAAAAAATCTGACCAAACATTTTAACAGTAATGTAATATAAATATATAGTATAGTATAGAATTATATGCATAAATACAAATGTATACGTGATCTTTGAAAAGAATCAGATTTGCCTTATAAATAGATTTAATAATTACACACCCTTTTCTCTCTGTCTCTCGAAATGTCATCATTTATTACCTCTCGCAATGCTAAAGATGGAGCATTAATAGACTACAGATTACACAAGTCACTTCTCACTCTGAACAGTTTTGTAAGGCAAGCATCAACATTACTACTGCTCATACTTTGAATTATTCATTTGAACAAACCCCTAACCATAAGTATTAAACTTCAGTATAACACGTCCTGCAACATTTGTGCTACAGACATGAAAGATACCGCAAATCATATATGGTTTGTTGAAGATAAATGTGTGATTACTTGCTCATGATTCTCGGCTGCATGATAAAACCGGTGCACCCTCATGTTATATTCAGGAAAAGTACAAATTTAGTCTGCATTACTGAAACCTCAGCCATATGGCAATGATATTCTGGTCAGTTCAGATATTTCCAGAATTCTTGTATCCCGTGTCCTTTGGGGAGCTGCTAGAAAGCAGGCACAGATCTGTAGTGGAGAGGTGCTCAGTGTCCTCTGTATTCTCGTCATGATGGTTATTGTCTCAGCATTCCCATCATGCCTCCCTGATTCAGCCTCAGCATCCTAATCCTGTCGCATAGATGCGTCGGTGTGTCCGGATTGATAATAGGGTTTTACCAGTGTGGCTGTGAGACAGAATGATGAAGAGATAGAGTGTGTGTGAGTGTGTGAACATCATGCATTTGGGCTGGTAAAGGGATCGTTCTCCAAAAAAATGAACATTTCTGACAATACTTATTAGCCCTCATATTGTTCCAAACCTCTATGACAATTGTTTCTTTCATGGAACACAAAAGGCTAGTCAGAATCGAACTGTAAATGCAAATTAAACCTAAAAATAATATAAATGTTCTTTTTCTGATAAAAGCCTGACCTCCAAAGTCATGTCAGCCAACCTGATGTCAGCAGAGCCAGACATGCACAGTGACTGACTGGCAGAGAGAGTTTCACTGTTCCCCTGACACTTTTCTTGCTGTTTACAGAGGTGTCCCAGAGACAGGTGTGATCTCCTAGCACACTTAATTCAGGGATATCTGTCAGGCAGTAGCAACATTTAAAAATAAAATAAAAAAAACCTTACAACACTCTTAATAATATTCAATCAACTGCAAAAGCAAGAATAAACCAGTTGTGCTCAACAGGTTTTGTGTCAGAAATCAGATTTTACAGTGGGCATCAAGTTTTTGCATAAAACAACTAAAACTGTTTACTGTATAAAAGGTACAGAAAAATTGCCTTGAAAACAAAAATTAAACTTAATAGGTCCAGCAATATGCAAACCTATTAACATGACAAGGGTCAATTTTCTTTATTAAGTTAACCAGTATTAAATGTTGCAATATAAATTGAATCTAGAAATACATTAAAACTTAACTAGCTTTAATTGAAATATATTATTGCTGATATACATTACCGTTTGGGGTCAGTAAGATCTTTTTCTTTTTGAAAAAAAAAAAACAGTATACTTTTATTCAGCAATGACATATTAAATTGATCAAAAGTAACACTAAGTACATTTGTAATGTTACAATAATGTTCTATTTCAAACAAATGCTTCGGAATTTTCAATTAATCAAAAAAAAAACTAAATGTATCCTGGTTTCCACAGAAATATTAAGCAGCACAGTGTTTTCATCACTGAATACAGGAAGAAATGTAACTTGAGCACCAAATCAGTATATTAGATTGATTTTTTGAAGGATTATTTTGGATCATGTTACACTGAAGACTGGAGTAATGACGTTGAAAATTCAGTTTTGCCATCACAAAAATAAATTACATTTTACAATATATTCACATATAAAACAGATATCTTAAATTTTAATAATATTTCACAATATTACAGTTTTTGATCAAATAAATGCAGTCTTGGTGAGCATAAGAAACTTATTTAAAAAAAAAAAAAAAATTTTTTTAATGGTATTGTAGATGATCTGATAACAGATACAGCCTCACTGACAATCAGCAAAAGTGTAGAATAAAAGCAAGTAGTTTGATTTCAAAACAGTTTAATGTCTTCACACATCAACAGACCGGGCATAACAAAGAAATTACAACTAGCTGTGCCACTTCTTGTACAGATGCTAGTCTGACTAATTAATCTGATTTTATGACGCCAGTATTAACAAGCCTATTTCTGTGCAGCTGTGTGGAAGAATTTATAAAATCACCAGGACTGCAATTAAGGACGCTGATGCTGTGAAATTGTTACAGCCATAATCAGGTCACATGAAGCACAACTGCCGGAGAGGGGCAGCTTTACTATTCTGAATAACACCTGAGCCGTGGTGCCAGGATGGCAGAGTGCCAGTGCGCCAGCGTGCCACAACCATCCCACAATGAGCAGAGTGTTTCATTACAGCGTGATGTGACTGAGTGCCTCAAGACTGCATTCTCTCTGGATTATACATGTTTAAATCTTCGCTCCCATAATCCTCAGCATGCCCATACTTACAACCCATCTTCATCACTTTAATGGTTCTGAACTGCTATTTGATGCGCTTGGCCTTTAAAACTGATCACTGTCTGTGTTAAACCTTTAATAGCTGGGGTTGTGGAAAGTTCAAGATTTTCTGCTTATAGAATATGATTTTATGTTGGGTCATGCTGTTAATTGACTCTCTCAGTGTTATGAGGCACTTGCACATGCTTGTACAGTGTTCTAAAGTTCTCTAATGGACTGGATCTAATCTCATTCTCCATATCTTTTTAATGGACAAAACATATATTTTTTGGAATATACATATTCCT